CCATGTGGCAGTGAGCTGCTGACCCGGGAACAGGAGCACGTCTGCTCGGAGCCCGTGAACGGGGAAAGCTGGGGCAGGGCAGGGGCAGCGGGAGATGGGGCAGCTTGGAGGATGGATTGTGCTGCACTGGGGGGTGTCCCCACAGGCTCCCCAGCTGCCTTTGGCTCCCTGCCTGCCCCCCTTGGCAGCCGCGGGGGCCTGGGCCCTTGCAGGGGCAGCTGCCCCGTGCAGGGAGCCGCAGGGATGCGGGGAGGGGGGCTGGATCCGTGCCGCAGCTGGGATGGACTCTGTGCCAGGCCTGGGCTTGTGGCCAGGGCTGGGGGCTGTGCCAAGCCGGCCTTTGGCCTGGGGGCTCTTGGCGAGGGCGCAGGGAGGAGTCCCGGCAGGATAAAGGTGCTCCTCACCTGGGGCAGCCTCAGCCAGCGCTCCCCACTCACTGGCACAGGAGGAAGAGGAAGATGAAGGTGGCTGTGCTCGCCGTGGCCCTGCTCTTCTCCATCCTGCTGTGCCTGCCAGCACAGAGCGAGGTGCGGCTCCAAGGCCCCGGGCCGGGCTCGGGCCTGGGGGCTCTTCCCAGCCCAGGGGCTCGGCCGGGCTCTCCGGCCCCAGGAGGTGCCGCTTTCTCCTCGCCACCATCGCCTCTGTCCTTCCCCTTCCCACCATGGAACTGCCGCTGCCCCAGCCCGGCTTCCCCATGGGATGCTCGGAGCCGGCTCCTCCCTGGCAGGGCCCCGGCGCTTTCCTGCCCTGCTCCCCCCAAATCCCGGCCTTCTGGGCCTCCCCATCCCACCCTCCTGCTCCCCTGGGCCATCTCCCCAGCACCTCCTGTGTTTCCCAGCCAAGGACAAAGGCCCGTCCCAAGCTCGGCTGAGGTGGCACCAGGAGGTCCAAACCCATCCGAGCGCAGACTGGGCTGAACTCGGCCCAGCTGGGCTCAAGCGCTCCAGTGCCAAGCCAGGCTGAACTGGCACAAAGTGGGAAATGCCCCCACCCCAGCCCGGGACGATTCCCGGGCTCTTCTTTCCAGCCTTTCCCCTCTCGCCGTGGCCTTTCACCCTGCAGCGGTGTCCCCAAATGCCCTGGCACCCCCTGCTCAGAGCACGGCACAGCCCTGGGCTGGGGAGGGGGCTGGGGACACCTGGGCTCCCCCCCAGCCCCACAAGGGCCAATCCTCACCAACATTCTGCTCTCCTTCCTTCCTTCCTTCCTTCCCCAGGCCATGGATGGCAGCGGTGATGAAACCATTTGTGCCGGGGTAAGTCCTGGAGCTGGGTGCACCCGTGGGGGAGCTGGGGGGGCACTTTGGTCACCCCCAGCCTTTGCTGGGACTGGGGACACCCCAGTGACCGCTGACATCTCATGGTCTCTCCACAGAGAGTTGGTGGCATTGGCAGCAGCCAGGTGGGTACCCCGAGTTCTTCTGCTGGGTGAGACCCTCTCCTCTCTTGGCCAGGACCCTCCAGGGCACCCCAGAGCAGCCCAGGGCGTGGCAGTCCAGCCCGGGGCTTGCCAAGGCTTCCCCAGGGTCCCCAGTGTGTTCCAGCCCATCCCAGGACACCCAGTCGGGCCCAGGAGCCCCGTGCCCAGCGCATTTCCTCTCCTCTTTCCCTCCAGTCCTTTCCCTTTCCCACTGGCCGTGCCTGCTGTCCCCAGAGCCCCCTCCTCCACAGCCCCTCCCAAACCCATCAATTTTGGGTCTCTGGCCCCGCTTTCTCCTGCCCCCCCCACTCCCCACTGCAGCCCTCATGGCCCCCACTGGAATTCCT